AAACTTGATAAGAAACAAAAAATAAGATAAAAGTGAGTGGTTGTGACATTAAATAATTTGGGTTAAAGAAAAATAATTCTTTTTTAACTTTTTCCAATTTAATGGGCAAAAACAAAATTAAAAGATAGAAGAAAACATCAATAAATTAAAACTAATGAGGTTTGATTAAAAATTCAGTGACAAAAGAAAGGATGAAAGAGAAAGAAAGAGTTGAAGATTAAAAAGAATGAGTCATAAGAGAATGGGATTTTAAAAGAAAAATGGAAAAATGAAATATAGATGTTTGTTTTATATAAATAAGTAATAAAAAAAAAGCAAATAAGATGTGATGGCGCAATGATTACTACATTGGTCTTCTATTGCAAAGGTTTTGAGTTCGAATCTTGATAGAAGTATTTTGCAAAAAGTTTAAAAAAAAAAAACGGTTCAACATGGTTCACCGGTTTTCACGGTTTTGACCGGTTCTTTGGCAAAGTCAACCAAAGCATAGAATCGGGCTGGTGCCGTGATCGGTTCGCGATCCAATCGGTCGAACCGTCCAATCCGGTCCGATTTTCAAAATATTGATTACATCAGGAACTGTTTTTAGTGAATCCATGGTTCTTAATTGATATCGATATGTGACAAGGGGATTATATTAGGAGCTGTTTTGATATTATTTGCTGCCAAACAAGACAAGAAATTTTGGGCTAGTTCAAGTTGCCGAAGGAAACGAGAGTTGTATTACTTGAATTCTTTTTTTTTTTAAATTTAGGTTGGGTAATGGGTGCTCAATACAAATGTTCAAACCGTTCAAAATATATTTGAATTTTTATTATCCAACCAAAAATTGATCCAACACCCAAATTACCCAACCTAACCTCTCAAATTAGTGGGTGAATTGGATGGATTATTGGATTTTGGGCATAATTGCCGGCTATATTTCAAACCACCAATCATTAATCACAACCAAAAAAAAAAAAAAGAAAAGACCCGATCTCGTGCTGCCGTAGAACGGTAGTAATAGTAGTAGGGCGAGGAGGTGAAGGTGTAGCCACAACGGAGTTGTTGTTGTTGGGCGGGATGGGGCCGGGTTGGTTGATACGGAAGGCAGTGAAGACCAGAAAACCTTAACTTAGGAATTGCAGGATAAATGGAGCAGCAATTCGAAAGTTCAAGATGCTATTGTATTGATGGAAGAATTTTCTTGTTACAATCCAGAATGAGTTCACTCTCCTTATTGCTTCTGTTTTAAGCTATCATTAAGTCGGTTTAGATCCTTTAACTAACTAACCAATTGACAGCTCATACAACTTAACCAACTCACAATTGCTTAACCAGCTCCGGTAACTACCGTAACCAGAAATTGTATATATCATTGGTCTTTGCCGGTCGGAATTTGGAAAATGGTAGGACCTGAACGCCCCCAGTTCGTTCTGTTTGGCTCATCCATCGTACAGTTTTCTTACAGCCAAGACGGTTTTGGTGCAATCCTCACTGACATCTATGCTCGCAAGGTACATCCCTCTTCTTCTCCGTCTTTCCCCCGTTTTGGAGCAATTGTTTTGTTTCCCTTCTTGGTAGGCGCCTCTAATCGTGCAAGATTTCTTGATTTTTGTTTTTTCTTGGTCATTATTCATTAGTAATTTGACTTGCTTTCGCAATTTCAATTCCAAGTCAAGGTCAAATCTGCACGACGATACCCCTGTTGGAAACTTAGAATCATATTTCTGTTGTTTTCTTCTACCCTGCAAACGGTAAACATAAATTATCATTTTGAGGATTTAGCTTTCTTGTTAGCATATCTGTACGAGCGTCATTTCAACGCCGATTTGGTCGCTACTTTCCAGTTTCCACCCTAAGACGATGACTTTTTAGTGCTGGGTGCCGCGTACCTTCCTCCCTTGGACATGTATGCACTTGCAGTTTACGAATATTTCCGCCTAGTAATACCATTGGTCTTAGTTTTCCTCGTTAGTTATCATCAGATTAGGCCCCCTTATCTGTTTGACTGAATAATTACAGGTATAAAGAGTGAGAGATATTGAGACAAAAATTATTTGCTTGAGTAAAAGGGACCTTGTACAATGATACCCCTTTGACTAATTTCCCCAGGAACTAGGAATTTGCACATAATTTCATTCCACTTTCAGCTAGGTAGCTACAGAGAGAGCCCAGCAAATATTTGTGTACCATGGTTGTTGACTAACGTTGTTCATGATACTATAGCTGAGTTTTCTCCTTGCCAATTTCTTTTGACCTACATTTTCTCTCTGTGTAAACTGTTGGGGGCAGGCTGATATATTATTGAGAGGATATGCTGGTTGGAACTCTCGGGGTGCTCTTCAAGTCCTGGAACAAGTTTTCCCCAAGGTACATTCTCTTTAGTATTTCATCAGAATCCAATGTTCCTCGTCAACATATTCAAGAACTATTTCACCTTTCAGTAAACTTATCCTTGAAGTTGTTTTCCTCTAGCATGCAGCCGTGCAGCCTTCTCTAGTTATAGTTTATTTTGGCGGTAATGATTCAATGAGACCTGACCCAAGTGGTCAAGGACCTCATGTTCCTCTTGCAGAATATGTGGAGAATATGAAGAAAATTGCCTTTCATCTTAAGGTGACTTTTTTGGGAGAAAGCTGTTTTAAATACTTATTTTGCATTGGACTGACCTGATACCTGAATTGTCAATCACTGGTAACGTATGTTCATGGCAGCTGTTTGTTCTGCCCTACTACGCTCACTTCCGCGTTTCAGAGCGCTTGCTTTATCTTGTATTTGCATCTAGTTCTGTGAACGTGAACCTCAAGAACAAATCCAATTATTCTGGGCCTCCTTTAACTTTTCAATTATTTTCTGGCTTTCCGACTGACTAATGTTCCTTTGGCAGTCTCTTTCGGACAAGACTCGTGTACTCTTCCTTAGCACCCCTCCTGTGAATGAGGCTCAAATTTGTGAATTTTTTGGGTAAGGAAATGTTAATTTTCAGTGAATTTTAGTGGTTTATGAGGAACATTATCAATTTGAAGTGTTTGAATGGTTTTCCTTAGTCGAACATGTGATCAGCTTTGTCGAACAAATGAATCCTGCCGAATATATTCAGAAGCCTGCATAAAATTGTGTCGAGAGTTGGATATTAAGGTTGTTGATCTCTGGACTGCACTTCAACAGAGGGATAATTGGCTGGATGTCTGTTTTGTGTAAGTATGCGTCTCTGCGTGAATTCTTGATCCTTCTGTTGTTTTTTCTAATCAAGCTTTTCATGTGGTCAAGCTCCAGATCATGCTTTTTAAATCAGTCCTCAGCCTGATAAAGACTTTGGTTATGTATAGCATTTCTCTCATCAATTCCCTGTTTTTCTATTCAATGCATCATGTTTTGTAAAATTGTGCCGTAAGGATTATGGACCTATCTCTACCACCAAGAAGAGTGAAATTATAATGGCAGTAACTCATGAACACATATGTTAAAACTGAAAAAAGGGTCATGTCCATAAGTTTGATGATAGATGTATTCTCTCCTGATGTCTACTTCTCCGTTTGAATAGAAAATTGTATGGGAAAGTGAAGTGAAAAAAAAGTGAGGTAAAAGAAAATGTAAATGAGTTTCCCATACACATTTGGTTACTAAGAAAAATATTGAGAAAATATAGGGAGTTAGTGAGAGTTAGTAGCAGTTATTGCAACTTTTGCTGGTAACCAGCTATTTTACTTCAAAATCCTACAAATTTTACAAGGCACAAAATGCAGTCAAGTGCAAGATAATTTTTTAACATTTTTGCCGTCCAAACGTGCTTGGGGGAAAAAATAACTGACTTTCCTTCACTTTCCCATGCTTTTCCGTGCTAACAAACACTATCTAAAGATTTACATGCTGATGCGACTGGTTTGGCTGGTATAAAGTAATAGGATCACCAACAACGAAAGCCAGAGAGAAAAACATATAGGTATTGCTAGAATTCAGGTGAAAAACTGTGTCAAGGGAGTTTCACTAGAGCTGTTTTTCAAATTGAGATGCTTGTTTTGTTGACTTAATTCCGTTCCCTTTCTTCAGGGATGGAATTCATCTGTCATGTGAAGCAAGCAAGATTGTGGTGAAGGAGATATTGAAGGTTCTCAAAGAGGCTCAATGGGAGCCAGGCCTGCACTGGAAGTCATTGCCAACTGAATTTTCTGAGGACTCACCTTATGATGTCATTGGTCCAGGTGGTGACACGAAAAATGTTGCTGACCTCAACCTTCACTGGCAGATTCAGTGGGAGTAAGGAGAAAGTAGTCTGTTGGTTCCCTGTTCAACCCCCTGCCATGAAAGCCTTGAGACAGGATTGTTTTGTATCATTTTCTGCCATTTATGTCAACCCTTTGGTTGTATTATATTCTACTTGGAAGTCTCGAATGATCAATTGACTCGACAGAAAACCAATTAACTTTTGCCATCTGGGAATGATCCACCCTATAATCTTCCAATGACAAAATCACTTCTTGCTTGCCATATCTGCTAAAAGAGAACTGGAGCAGATTATGAGATCCTTTTACTGGAGCATCCGCAAACCATGGATGCAGGTAATATCTATTCCTGGATGGTATATAGATTCTATTCCATTCATTCCAAAGGGCAAGCAATATTAATCTCTGAATGGTTATAGATTCTTATCTATGTCAAAATGTGTTCAAAATGTATCGACTATGAACGTCAGAACTTTTACTCCAAACAAATTGCATCCTAAAGTTGTCAGCTCGTCCCAAATCCCACGAAACCTCTCCACACTGCCATGAATTCAGACGAACAATTTGCAGTCGCACTTCCCAATTATACTTTTGCCTAACGTGAAAGCTTGCATTCAGCATTTAGAATCCACTAAGAATGAAAACGCACTTGAGCTTTAGTCTACTTTCAGTAACATGATGAATATTTTGAGTTTTCTTTGGAGGAAGTTGCCGTGAGGTGCATTGAATTGCTATCGAAGTGATTTGAACTTCATCTCAACGTGTAAAATAAATCACAGAACCGTAAAATTTCAATTCAATAGAAAATCTAAAGTTGCAGAATCAAATTATCCAAATTAAAAGCATCCAACCTCGTTTGCAGGCTTTACAACATAATGTTTAATCCATCAAAGCATCTGTTACTTGAGGTCGAAGAGGAAACGAAAAGATGTGACAATCTGATTAGTGTTGACTACAAATGATTCGTTCTCGTTGACCATATGATACATCATGTATAACTGTAAGCAGCCCCCCACCCGCAACAAACTACACAAGCTAGTGTGTAACTTAATCAAACCAACAATACATACAAAAAGTGCAAAACCAGTCAAGCAGCAGTATCGCTACAGCAACCAAATTCGACCATGGATGATGCCCGTCTGCTCAGGAAGAAGAGATAAAACAAAACGACACGTGCATATCCGAATATCAAACTGCTCTTACAATGTCCAAACTCAAGCTCCAAAAGGTCCATTGTTGGAAGCATGCACTTTGAGGAAATGAATAATTTAAGACGACAGCTGGAACCTGCCACTGGGCTTCTTTCTTCTCCAACCCTGGCCAGGTACAAAAGCATGCAGAACTACGTTCAAGGTGCAGCCTTCAAAAGCCAAGAATGTAGGAGAGAAAAGGCAGGGCACTTACAAAAGCTAAGTAGTACACAAAGGTCAGCCCAGCTAGAACAATGAATGCAATTTGAAAAACGTTGTACCTGCACAAGTATAGACGTGATTAACAGCTTCTGAAATATATAAAATATAATTAATTGCAAGAATAGAAAGGCAGCTGGAACCAACTTGTATAGATATTTAATTCCCCGAAGTGATTGCAATGTGTGACCAAATATTTCTTGAGCTGCAGTAGCTTGAGCATAGTATGCAAACGCAGTCGCACAGAACTGAATTACACTGCAATAATGATGACCAAAGTAGTCACAACCAAATTCCGAAATCAGACATTAGAAGCTGCAGGTGCCACTCCTCGTTATTCTATCATTACCTATTCTTACTGATCTCCATGAGCACATGGCATTGAAGCATAAAAAGAGAACAGTGCAAACCTGATAGAGCAAAGGAGGATGAGGCCAACATTGAAAAGAAACGAGTTCATGAGTGTAGCTCCCCACCTGTAGAGATTTGGAGCAACCATCATGAGCTGCAGGAAACCAGCTCTGGAGGAAAGGGGTAGGGGAGCAATGGATAAAATTGCTGGGAAAAAAAGATTGAGATGCCAAAAGTCGTTACTTCATAGGATGAATTGTAATAAAAACTAATCTCAGGCCAAGCATCATGGCACCAGCAATCACTGCAAGTAGTAGATAGAAGCAGAAGAATGCAAATGCTGCCGTACCCAAAAGACCTAAGTAGCAGCAGCATTGGATATCATGTCAGTTAAGAACTAATCAATCAGATGGCAATGTACAAAAATATGTAGAAGTCTAAAAAAGTACCCCAAACGTCATCCAATTTGATGAAAACTTCATTCAGGAATGCAGAAAGTGGAGGCCTAATCAACAAATATATAATGATATGTGCAACCCAAGCAACTGAAACAATCAACCTGTCAGAAGAGAGCAAAAAATTACAGGTCACAAAAAATAGTCCATCCACCTGATAAAATGGCGTAACTACAGGAGAAAGTATAATAGTATAGAAACCCCATATCAGTGAACAATGCCAGGGCAACAGGTCATGAAGAAGGAGAACCTCATAGAAATTGAAAGCCTGAAAGCCACCCAAAACTTGTTCCTTCCATCATAATGCTGTAACAATCAAATTTACCTTTTCTTCAGGTTTGGGAGGAAATCTAAAGGGCAAGGCAATTCAAGCAGATTAGGTACGGAGCTTGGGCAGGACTGGGGAATACACAATGACAACCGTGTAAGTAAAACAGTGTTCCCATGACTTTCCATGTACAATATACCATGACTTTACTATTGGGAGGCTATCATGTTTATATGGCATAGCCTAAAATGTAAAACCATGCCAACACCCAAAATGCGACACTAAAAACCATACAAGAGAGGACAAAGGCCAAAAAATAAACAAGGGATGACCAATTTCGTTAAGCACTTCAGGCTAAGGGAAAATATTAAATTATGAAAATACTTCAGCTTTACATGTATGGTACAAATAATTTCATCTACTCGTATCATTACAGTACATGTCTGTAATTACATGTGATTTATACAATGATGAGAAAATCTAATATAGTGCCCAAGGATATGACACATTACAGCACATGAATATCTCAAAGCAACAAAGTTAGGGCACCAAAGAGTGCAAGTTTGTACACCAATCAAAAAGGGCACAAGGATATGATATATAGCATAAGACTTCCCCAACAAGGATAGGAACAAAATATCAATCAATTTAATGTGCTCACAGCTAATGCCAATAAGTCTTACTCTCAATAGCAGGCTATCCATCTTCTTACCTTCTGCTTCCTTTAAAAAAAGCTTAATTAAGTAGATTTTGGTTCAGGGCAGCCTAAATGTAAAACTTCTACACTCAATTAGTCCTAAGCTCTGTTCCCTAAGATGTTTGACAATGCGGATAACTCTCATTAAAAGGCCCAACAATGTCCAGGTTATAGCTAAAATGTGTTACTTAGAAAACAAAGTCAAAAAGGGCAAATGAGTCTTCCTTTGGGCAAAAGTAGCTTTTTAAGATACTAATAAAGGGTAAAGCTTATTCGGGAATAACTGTCATGTAACTATTTTATGCAGTAAAGCTGCAGAAAGCCTGAAGGCACAACAACATAGCATAAAGTAAAATCACACTTCAGTAGAACAACTTGAAAAAACAAAAAAATAAGGCATACCCTAAGATTCCCAACACAAATTTGGCCAAGTAGCCAAGAACGGTCATGGCCCAAGCAGCCTCAGCCTAAAAAAGATTTAACATGAATTAAATGTGTGAGAGAGAGAGAATAAACGCGACACACTTCTATTAGTTACAAAGAACGAGTTGATCACCTTTTCACCTTGAGGGTACATCTCCTCTAAAGCCTTGACATCATCTTCCAGAAGTAGTAATTCCTGGAGAATTAAGTATGCAAAACGAATATCCTTAATGATAATACAAAGACAAATATTCAAGCGCACATCAACATCATAATATAATAAGTATGGGAAGAGAAAAATGCAGAGAAGAGATCAAATAAATATCATGTCCCCATTGACACTAGCTATCAAACACAAAAGCACACTTACATAAATTAAAAGTGAAAAAACCATGTACCCAAACTTCAGATAAAAAGGCTTACCAAATGATTAGCTCCATAGTTGGAGTTACCATTTAGGTAATGCACGTATATTTACAAAAACTCTGGAATATTACTATCCAAGAAGTACGAGATTCCAAGGAGGATTCAGTGGTGAAAGCAATGATAACCACTGTGGACACAAATGTAACACCTTCTGATCATGCCAACTGTGGTTAATGCATTATGAAAACCACTCGATATTTTTAAAACAAGGGTCTCATTCATTTAATCCTAAAGGGTTGAACATGTAAAAAGTCATGTAAACATATTTTCTCATTCTATCTCTCAACTAGATTTACATGTTCCTGCACCATGATTTGAAAAATCTCCTCCCCCGGCCGTATAAATCTAAGCATTTCTAACTGAAATGCCGCTGAAGCCGTAGTGTGTTGCCTTAGGTGATTCTAAATTTATTTCATAAAGGTGAATAAGAACCAAAATATTCCCAGTCATAACCTACTGTTTTCAGATAAGTCATAATATCAACGAGTCTACTTGTTCAATGCTAGTTCTTTTGCATTATACAAACACAGAGAATAAGCCACAACACATATGAATACAATAAAATTCAAAAAGGAAGATATTTGCGCACACGCACCATAGACGGAAAAAAAAAGCTTTTTAAAGAACACAAGATTTTTGTTGTCCTGGCAGCTTAAATACAATATCCACCTAAACAATAATTGAGAAAGTAAGAAAAACAAAATAAAAACAGCTCGTGACAACTGCAACTGTTTTCTGCCAAGAAGACGAGATGGGTTTCAGATGAAGTAGAGAGACAGTGCATACCTTTTCTACAGCCTTGACATTTTTACGCCATTTCCTTCCCTTGCTGCCACTCCTTTCTTCCTGATGAAGTGCGTCAGCCGCCTTCTTCATTTCTCTTGCTTTCTTACCTAGTTCAGTTGCTTCCTAAGTGACATTAATCACCATCACAAAACAATGAATTCATTACTTTTCTTTAGAACCAAACTTTCTCACTTCAGCAACACTAAACATTTTGTGAAAAGCACCAAGTACCTTGATATACTGTGAGCGAGTGATAACTGCCTTTGGACGTCTAATAAAGGAGAATATCAGTCCCAGTGGGAGACAGGCTATTCCAACCCCTCCAAAAATCTGAAGAGCAGCATGAGACATTAGGGCACAAAAAATAACTAGAATACTCGTCTCAATCCAACTGTTACATCTTCTTTCTTTGCAGACAATGTTCAACCAGTAAACTAGTTAATTGCTTATGACCATAAATGAGCATTCAAATATTACAAAAGAAAAAAACAACAAGAGTCAATAGGTTGTTAACATAGCACCATGACAATTTAAAAGGATGACTCCACATAAAACAAAGTAGGAGCAACTCCAACCCCCCCCCCCCCCAAAAAAAAAACCAATAAAATGGAAAGTCAAATCCCAAAAATTTCATTCAGTGCACTGAGTCACAAAGAAATCATGGTATTAAACATTTCGAGAGACAAGTACCGTAAAAAGTACAGATCCGACTATTGTTGCCAAAGCAACAACATATTCTGGGAAGGTAGCGCGCATGCTCCATGTGGTCTCAGATGAAGGACTTGCAGAATATGCAGAACACTGAAATTGAGATAATCTAATATTAGGAACTGAATGGAATTAGTGATATCAAAAATGCAATAAGGCCTGCATAGTTTTGACGTTGACATTAGGAGATTGATTATCATAAAGTACCAGCCCCGTCCACTCTAAGTGGACCAGATGAAGCCACAACAGCATATTCATGTTCTAAATAATTTGTGAGAGGCAGGCCACAAAAAAAATTATATAATCGAAATTCACATTTTGAACAATAATATGTATAAACCAGAAACAAGTCAGCCTAGTCTTTATCAATTATTAACGTAAATTTTGAAAGATGGTTCAACACAAACACTGATTGGTGAACACCTTTAAAAAATGTATTAAATAGTAAAAGCTGTTACTGTGGCTCCATCTACACAGCTTATGTTAATCATTTGTCATGCTCCAAACTTAGAAGCCCAAGATTTCTCACAAAGTTCAATCAACCATTGTACACTAACGCCTATTTCACAATTATAATAAGCAAAACCAATAAAAATTAAAAAAATAAATATGTTTGCTCACCTGGCGTACACCATTTCCTACACATGGTTGACCACTAGAGAAGTCCCATGAACTTGGAAATGAAGCTGTGCCCGAGGAGAGGTGTCTGACCGTGAAATCCACCTTTCCAACCAGTCCTAGTAGTGAAAAGGACGCATATAAAGTAGAGGGATAAGAAACACAAAACAGCTCAATTAAAAGAAACAATTTTTCTTAAAGTAAATAGAGAAGCAATCTTGTTTAATTTCCAGAAGCCATGTCAAAGAGAACTCTGCTTCCTAGTCCAAAAGAGCTAGAGTGGATAAAGGATTATTAGGTCAAAATAAGCAAATACAGAGTGGACAATATACAGCTACATAAGCTCTGTAGTGCTCCAAACCGAACAATGCTATTTTGGGCAAGGGTTTATCATTAAATATGGGGAAAAAGCGGCTGATTTCTCAAAATTTAGTTCAATCAGTTCGCCTAGAAATTATGTGCCCATTACATTGTCTTTGAGGACAACATTCTATGCTATCTTGCAAATTATATCCTTTCTTGTGAGTTCAATATATTTACAATAGATCACAGTAAAAAAGCATTTTAAGCTTTGATGGAAAAAAAGCTATTTAGAAAAAAAATCCACCACAACTAACCATATAAAATGCCAAGCACCAGGGCACAAACGATCGCAGTAGTTATCACCCACCATAATGCACTTTTAATCCTCTTGCCCACACTCCTGCACCAACAAAAATGATTAAAAGCTCCTTATAGAATGCACCATTGCATAGCATTCGTGCTATTAAAAAATAGTATCAAAAGAAGAAACAAAATAAAAAAGGAAAAAGAAACGGAAACCTTAGGCGATGTACTTACTTATCCTGGTCGCCTTCATAATAAAACATAGCGAAAGGAATAACGAAGAAAACCAAAATCGCATCAGCGATGTAGACTGCAAGCCAGAGATCCTTCATCGGTAGCGTGAGTTTACACGCGCCATTATAAATAGCGTGGCGACATGCCTGCCGGTTAGCCACATCGGCAGGCAGCATGAGAATGGAGATGGCGGCAATGGAGAGGCCCAAAACGACAACAAATTTTGGGAAATAAGCCTGGTTGACGTCATCGGGATGCTGATAATTAATTAGCAGGTAAATGTTGAAGATGAACACCAAAACACAGACAACTATTGCCACAATCACCAGCGCCAAATTGAAATCTCCCATTCTTGCTGGTTGAGAGAGTCCTCTCTCTCTCTCTCCAATTCTTTTAATTGAATCAATACGATGCTGATTGATTCAAATTGAAACGGTAGGGTTTTTCTATATAAATTTCAGGGAAGGCAAGCGGATCTGGTTCTTGATGAGATTTTTCCCTCTCTTTTTTCCTTCTGTCTTTCTGTTCAAGAGAAAGAAGAAAAGGGGAAGGGCTTGGAAGAGAGGGGCCGGGTGGGAGGGGTGTTGGGGGAATGGTAGTGGTCCGGTGCCGGTTTGATTTGAGGAAACGGGGGTGAGTGGGTTCGACGGGGGAGTGAAATTACCAATTTGGACGCTAAGAATACGGTTATCAAGAGGAATATCTGGTCAATCACGCGGTAGTCCTGGAGGTTGTAATGGGTAATAGGCTTTGTAACGGAGACAGCTTTTCGAGCAGCCTGGCCAACTGAGGCTTTTCGGTTCTCAACGAGTAGTATTTTATATGCTTGTAGGATTGCTCGTTGGCTCCGCTCGGCCGGTGAATCACCACCGGTCTAGTGTAGAGGGGAACTGACTGACTGAGGAGGTTAAAGGGCTTTTACTCTACATTGGGAGGGGACCGAAGGAGATCAAAGGAAATCCGATGAATTACTCAACATTAGGGGAAAGTAAATCTAAAGAGACCGAGGGAAATCCAATGAATCATCCCAATTCCACTGATAAAACATTTTAAAGAAAGTCTAGATATTAAAATGCAGAGCAATCTGATCTCTCAACCTACACTCAAGTAAAATTTTAAAACTTTTTTTGTGGCCAACTACTTCTAGTTGGTTCCATGATTGAGAACTAAGGAAGTGGTAACTAGCAATGATGATCAAGAATGGAGTATCGTGGTTAATGATTTCAGTTTCAATTTTGGTTGGTTTATTGAATTGGTTACTCTAATTTTTTATCAAGTTACCAAGTAAACTATTTACTTCTTTAATTTGTTTTCTTTTTTTTTTGTAACAATTAATTCCCTCCTTTTTTTTATTTCATGTATAGTATGATTTCTTATTTGTAGTCAATATCAACAAATTTAATAATAACTTACCTTATACAAATTTGTATAAACTCATACTTCTTTAGTTTTTAACTAACTACTCATTTGGCTGTTAACTACCACAAAAATTTTAAATGAAGGATCAAGAGTTCAACCCTTATCTTTCATCACTTACTACTAATAGTGATTTCTCCAATTCAAACATGTTTGTAGTGCATACCCATTTGGTTCAATAGTGATTCATTTTCCATTGATTTTCTCCGGTCTAGTTGAGCCCTTTCTTACATAGCTTCCACCAATTTTTCTTGACCTAGTTGAGTTTTCCTTTAGATAGGTTAATGTAGGAAAAGAAATAAGAGTAGACGTAGTGTAAAAAAATATTGATTGACAAATAAAAAAACTCATATCTTTTTTTTAAATCATATTCAATCATGTTCTTAATTCCTATTATTGGTTTGATTATTATAAACATATAGACTAAGGGCGGACGCCCAGGATCCACGTCGGACGTGGTCGTCCTCCACGTGGCTCCATGGGATTGGTTGGATGGTGACATGGCGTGCAGTGATTGGTGCAAGTTTGGTTCCCTTGAACATGTCCTGCACATGACCTTTTTTGCTCTTTCTTTCATTCTTTCGTGCATTGGTCTTCAGACTCTTCACTGGAAAGCTCCACCAACCCCAACCACTCCAGACGTCTTCTCCCATTTGTTTCTCCTTTTCCTTTCTTAATCAATCAATCATCTATGCCTTTTGCTAGAAGCTATGGACTTGAGATGACCACTCAGTCCTATCCATTCTTTAGTCTTTCTCTGTCATACATTACCCGTTGTGCATTCCTGAAGTTGTGGTCAATATGAGATATGTGAAGAGATTCCCATGAAATTCAACTTTCCTATTCTCTTCTTTTCTTCCATCCCCCTTTTGTTACGGGAGAATAAATGGTGAAAAAATCAGTTGAGCAGAAAAAAATGTTTTGATTAAAATAAAATAAAGGAAAGAGGAAAAAGTGTTGATTCTTCTAATTCCTCCACTTTCTTATGCCCGAGTTCTTTTGTGCTTTTTTTTGCTTTCTGAAGAAACCGTGCTGTGGTTTTTTTTTTTTGTTTTTTCCCAATAGAGCGAGGGATCAATGATAAAGGAGCCATCTTTTTCAGGTTTAAGGTTATGTTTAAGAGTTTTTATCAATGATATTTAAATCAATAGCCTATTGTTGTTTTTTTGCTTGAACTATTTTTACTTATCGGTAGCCTTCTTGATTTTCAAGTTTAGAAGAGATTTTTTCAGTTTTTTGGGACAAAAACAGCTTGGATGAGTTTTCAGGAAAAAACAGCTTGGACTATTGTTATCTAAGCGCTTTTGCTTCATTGTCTTTTTTTTTTTTATGCTGTTTTAGACATTTATTTTTTAGAAGTTTGGGTTATAGTTTAGAGTAATTTCTGTGTCTTGTAGTTTTGTTACATCTCTACTTGCTTCAGTTTTGTTCTTGACATGTGCAGGTGCTGGCTAATACGAGGAGAGAATGTGGGCTGCATAATGTGACATGCAAAGTATGGAATGGTTTTTTATTTGATAGTAGTAGATTTTAACTCGCTAGCTTATATGACGCATCTTCAGTTCTTCACAGATAAATGATGCATTGCATACTTAGTTTCTATATTCAAGACCATAATCTGAAGCCACATTTGACTAGAGCCCAATAAACTTATAATTGGTCATATTTATATGTATTGCAAGGTGTTAGGACTTACATGGGGTGTTTGGGATGAACAGATATTCACCCTGTGCCCAAATATTATCCTTGGAGCTGATGTCCTATATGAAACAAGTGGTAGGTTTGTCCCTATTTTTCTCTTCCCAATATGGTGACTTTTTCTGTTTTGTTTCACATATCACTTAACTGGAAAGATGTTTTTACCACGCATGCACTTTGAAGCATTTGATTATCTTTTTGCTACTGTGGCATTTCTGCTCCAGAATTCTTCCTCTTTGGTTTTTATAACAGCTTACTACAACAAAAGGTGATTATGGATTTTCAATTCCTGATCTTTTCTTGGCTGAAGGACATTTGGTAACCACGCTTGGGTGTATCACAGGTTTATGTTAATTTTTTATTTCTCTTTTTACTGTAAACAGTGGGCATCACCTGATTGAGTTCTTGATGGTTAAATAGGAATTGAAGTGCATGAAACTTCTAGATGGATTTTCATTCATGCCAGCTGACAAGGCATTTGGATTGAGTGGGAATATACAGTTGGTAGACAATTTTGGATAATGACAAACTCAATTAGCAAATGATCGTGATGCTTATTGAGAAAAATGGTAAGATGTAATATATTTTTTCTCTTTGCTCTCTCTCTCTCTCTCTCTCTCTCTCTCTCTCTTTTGCCTTCTTGAATGACTATTAAAATACATGGGTTGGGGATGACATTAACATGTTACACTATCTGTTCCCCCCTTGTTTTTATTTATTGCTTCACTTCTGGAATTAAACTAAGCTTGATGCTGAATTGAACTGTGGACCATAAACAATTGTTTTGGTTTTTGTAATTTTTTTATGTCCTGTAACAAGACCACTGCAATCCTGTATGCACCAATAACTTGTTTGTAGCATCAAAATTATATGAGCTTATTATCTTCTATTCAGAAGTGTGGAAAAAGGTTAACTTCCTAAAACTGGATTAAGTGCATTTGTACTGAGATCTGATCAATCAGTTTGGATGTTCATGCCCAAGGAAATTTTGGACAATTTTACATTTCCATTTATGAGCAACACGTGGGCAAATAATGTATGTCAAGACCTCCAATTCTGCTTTCAAGTAAAATTAGTGGTTAAATTTTCATGAAGGCTTTTCATTTATCTCTTTTCATTTATTGAACCCCAAAAATTCTGTATAACAGAGTATCCAAATAGGACTACCATTTGCAGGAGTGGAAATAGACTGCTTTAACATTTAAATCTGTAAATAATGGTGATGTGGCGCGAATTGATTGGTTAACAAATGTGCTTGTTGCACCTTACCCTTCCTCTGGGCACAGTCGTCGTCCCGTCTTCCTCCGAGATTTGGACTATTTTGTGATTATTGTGGTTGATTTTATAAGTGGCATTTTTCAGGCAAGCTGAGTTAGAGGCTGAAAGATTTAGGATTGCTGTTACAGCTGAAGCTCAGAGCATTTTTTATGCTCTATCCAAAACGTAAGTTTTTATGTTTGTCATTTCTTTATTGCTGTTTCTTGATCTTCTATTACCGGTTTGACTTTCTTAATATGATTTTTCAGTATATTTTATGAATTTTTTCTTTTCTCTTGTATTGGTTGAAAATATTAGTTTTTTGCAGTCTTGACTAATTATTTCTATTTTGTGATAAGTAAGTTCTGGTAATGCAAAAAGCAGATTTTTGCATGAACTAGATGACATATTATTTCAAGAATTAACTGTGGTTATACAGCTCCAAGTGTCTATCGTCATAAAAAAATCTTTACTAATCAAAATAATTGTTTCCAGTAAAAGATCATAGATTTTGAGTAGATAGTATTGCTTCCATTTAAAGGTACTATCAAGTTTGAGATTCTTAGTTTCATAAAGTTCATTGGGCTATTCGAATAGCTTAGCCTTGAGCATCAGATGCATCAAACAACTCCATTTCAGAAGTAGTGCTAGATGCAGAATTGGAGAGCAAAACTGATGAACAATCTTATTCCTGTGTTGAATCTCCTTTTTAATTCTTCAAGTGCCATTGTGCACTATATGAATGTTGTATGCAAAACAAATCTATCCATCATGTCTAAATTCACGAGAAGACTAACATATTTCTTCTTGCTACCTTCTTGCCAACACCACTAAGGGAGATGCCAGAAGATGGTTAAGGCCTTTTTTAGTGAAACTGAAAGAAAAGGGTCAAAAATATATACTGATACAATAGCTGTTACATGATTCTAGAAAATGCAGCATTTAAACTAAGATCATGTGTACGAAATATTATCAGTTTATTTTGCCGTGGCTGATTATTATATTGGGGAACATAGCAACCTCACTGACAAAACAAGGGAGAGTTGTTCTTGCAATTCTTTAGCTATACTGTTTTGATTCCACTGCAGTTATTCTTCATGCTTATTTAGGAGCTTTTCTGGGGAGTATAAACAATCAAGTTTCCTGAATCAAAACTTCTGTATTATATCCTAATTCCTCGTCCGATTTGCCACCAGTTTTGTTAAGAAGAATTGGATTTCTAAAGGAAGTGTTTTTTCTTCCAACTCTTAATACGGGAGACGAGAAAATGATTGCTGGTATTGCTTGCTTGATGTCAGAAATTGGTCAGACAGTAAGTGTTCGAAGTTCTTTTTTCAATAGGAGTTTTCCTTCTTCATGGCTTGCTTCTTATAGAATCTTGATTCCAATTTAGATTTCATAAAATCATAGAGTGGTACTAATGCTCGTCTGATGTGGCCTAAACTGGTTTTTTCTGATATGATGTATCCTATGCACCATCTTTGATTTTGAAAGCAAGTCCTGAGGCAGTAATACTCATGGATGCTCTGTTGAGGTTAGATCCTGAACATTTGACAATGATGTGCTTAAGGAGATAATGTGTATCATAGCCAGAGGTCATAATTTGATGCATTAGCCTTAAAATGCTAACTTAAGCTCTCTGCATTTCTCCTGCTCATCAACATTATAATTTTTTTGGGAAATCAAAACTGTCTTAGTAATTAAGGATGAAACAACTAGATTGGCAAACAATTACATCATTGGAGTATGAATGTTGAGGATGTTTGACCATATGAGCCTATTTCAGTAGATTTAAGGTACTGTACATCTCCCTTGTGGCATGCAAAGTGCATACTTACGTAATTCCACTGCAAAATGTCCCTTGTTTGATGTTAACTTATAATGTTCTGATTTTTTATCTATGCGTGCAGTTGTGCTACTTTTCCACGTGAATATTAGGAAATTGCTGACTGAATCTTGCAGTTCTGGTAGAAATAGTTCTTTGTTTTCCTATCTTTCTTATCATTGCCTTTTCCCAGTGTTAGTTCCCTGATTCCTGATGGCTCCGATATGGCTAAAGCTGGGTTCACAGTTTACTTTATGAATTAATTATATCTCATGCAAATTCAGCCTTTTGTTCTCTTTACATGTCAGGTCAAGTCTTGCAGGTTGCATTCTTGGGCATGATTTGAGTGGTGGAGGAGATAGAAAGAATATACAAGAAGTATTTCTCCCTGCTCACTCAGCTTTACTTGATGATCTTCTCTTGCAGGCACAAGTTTGCTTCATTTGTTTCCACTTTCGTTGGATGCAGATATTTGGTTTGTCCATTTTTGTGTGAGTCTTAGTTCTATTGGTTTATGCAAACATGCTTAAAGTATGTGCAGTGAAGGAATATATTGAAGAGAACATTGTACAAACATGCTTAGATCATTCAAAGTTGAAGAATAAGTTGGAATAATATATTAGTACCTGTTACACTTGAGCTGGAGAATAATCTTAGTGGGTAAAAGTAGTTTATCTTTTTCCAGGGGTGGTAGTTGCTTACAAGATTCATGGTCACTGTGTATGCTTTTAAAAGCAAGTCTAGAGGCCTGTTCATCCTTGGCTAAGTTGTTAGATGATTGAAGGTTTATCCTATTAGTGAAGACATGGAAAAGTTGAAATATTAGTGCTTCCGTTGTAATTGTTACAGAATCTTTACTATGTTGCAATACATGTGTGACCTTTTCATCCGTTGTACGCTTCCCTGCAAATTGGAAAATAGGCCAGTAGTGGAGAAAGAGTCCATATGTCAGTTCATTTTTGGTCATATTAATATTTTGAGAAAATAGTGTATGTGGGAATAATTTTGTTTTCAGATACATGTATTGCAAGATTCTTTCCTTTTCCTCATTTTTTGTCTGGATTATGATTAATTTGGAGTCTTTTGGACAGGTGAACGATTCTATGTTTATTGATGATGGAGAAGCTATTGATCTGCCTGATGGCCTTGTTCAATTTTGGATGAATTTGGTGGAACTTTTCGTTGATATCTATCAAATTTTTGGCTCTGCTGCATTCAGGCTATCTCGAGCTACTGTGTTCAGCATTATAACTTCATACTTTTTGGATGCTTTTCTAGGCGTTGATCAGCTCAGCTTCAACAACCTAAGCATTCAAGACTAAAATTGAACTTGTTTGATTTTCATATTTAGAATGCCTGTAGAACTAGAACCTCTTTCGGATGACTATTCAATATTTATAACAAAATTGTATTGCTCAAAAAATTTTACTCTGTTTAGTATTTCACTAATTTTCATTCTCACCAACATTACTAGCTAAACATTAACTGGGCATGTATTCCATCGTGCACAGCGCGGTGTCACCACCTAGTTTAGTGCTATTTGGACAAAGCATGTCACTATTTATTTCCCACTCTAGTAAGTTGTTGAGTTAGTTGTATTTTCTCAAATAAAAATTTTATCTTTTTCCATGTGAAAAAAATTGTGTTTGCTTATATTTCTCGGAGGATTTTATTATTTATCTATTTTATAACAATAAATTACAACCTTTTTTTGCTCCTTGTTATAGTAAATTTCAAAAATATATTAATTACATATTTTATATGCATTTTTATAATTGATGCCTTGATGTATTTTTTGTTAATTTTTCCCTAGTTTAATTATCTATAATCACATTCTCTATCCTTATTATTGGATTGGTAATTTTTTATAATTATTAAAATTTGGAAAAACTTTTATTTTTCCCTATTATTCTATACTTTTCTTATTTATAGAAATGTATTAATTCTCTACTTTATATATGGTTACATTGATTATTTGTTGCTATTACTAAAATATGGACAATATTGTAAACTAAAATAAACTACTATAGTATGAATGGAGATATTAGAGGAAAAGTAGAACAATGGAGAATGATATTCTAATGATTCCAACTAATACAAAGATTTTCCAAAGAGTGTCAATGTACCTCTATATATAGGTACTACAAGATTAAAGGTATATCAATTCTATTAAACACCCACTACTACAAGAATATGAAAAAATTTATGAAACGATTTTCCCACTACATGAATAGATTATGGATTGTAACTTCTATACATAATATAATCATAAATCAAGAATTAATTATCTTGGGAATACAAATGGACATCCATACTTTTAATTGTTTCATAATACTCTCGCTTGGATGTCTATTACACAAAGAATATGGCTCGTTAAAACCTTACCATGGAAAAATTCATCGAGACAAAAACTCTAGTGAAGGAAAAAGAGTACACTATTCTTGTGTATTAATTTCTCCCCATGATGTAAATATTATTTGAGATCTTTTAATCGTCGCATTCCAATATTCTTCGCCAATGACGCTGAGATATGGTACTTCAGGATCAAATATCTTTTCATCTTCCTATAGCGATCTAAAAGGATCCTTATTAAGATATAATGATCTGACAACCATTGGAATACTTAATATATGTGCCTTATCCATATAAAACCGTTTTAATACCTTTCGAGTATATGCAGTTTGGTGGATAAAAATTTCATTTTTCAAATGCTTAATTTGTAAATCAATGCATAATTTTGTCTTTCCAAAATCTTTGATCTCAAATTCTTTTTTTAAATATTCAACACTATTTTGAATTTCTTTAGGAGTTCCAATCAAATTTAGATCATCAACATATACAGCAATTATCACAAAATTTGATCCATTTTTCTTGATAAAAACACATGGATATATTGGATCATTGTATAATCTTCTTTAGTTAGACATTTATTGAGGCGATTATACCACATACGTCCAGATTATTTGAACCCATAAAAAAAATTTTATAATTTAATAGAATAAATATCTTTAGAATTTGATTTGCATGCTTCAGGCATGTTGAATCCTTTGGGAATTCTTATATAAATATCATTTGTAAAATTTTCATATAAATATGCAATAACAATGTCCATTAAACGTATCTTTAGTTTTTCATGTATTGCAAAACTCACAAGATATCTAAATGTGATAGCATCCATTGCAGGTGAATACGTTTCATCATAATCAAATTCAAACCTTTGTGAAAATTTTTAACCTACTAGCTTTACACCTTTAGGTGTTTGGACTATAAGTCTAAAAACTTTTCTTTTAATCAATAAATCTAATTTAGATTGGATCGCATCTTTCCACTTTGCCCAATCATTTCTATACCGACATTCATCAACTGATCTAGATTTATGATTCTCATCAACTTCTATAATATCAAGTGCTACATTTCATTAGGTTTCAATTAAATTTTCTATGATTTCATTCTCTTCAGGAGTTGGTTTTTCGGGAATGACCTCTTCAAGAGATTGAATTTTTTCATGACATTTATTTAATTTTCGGAATTATTCGAAATCAATTTATACTTTATTTAGGTAGGCCGGTATTAAATTTATTTGTAGCACTTGTGTATGTCCTTCAGGAATATCAATTTTAACCAGAGTATTTTCTACAGGAATAGTTGATTTAATGACTCTTCTGGAGTCGATAAATATAACTTTCTACAAGAAAAATTTCTTGAACTTCTAGTTTACATTATTTTGTATGAGGATCGAGTAAATTCAATTTTTCAAGTGATTTCCTTTCGGTTAATTTTTTCCTCCCCTTAATGTCGGGAATCGTAGTTCATCAGAATAAATAAATCATTCAATAGATCACCCATCAATATTTCACAATATTTAATCGTAAAAGGTGATTCATACCCTACATAAATTTTAAATTTTTTTAGAGTCATATATAATATAAAGGGGATATGTATAAATATTTGTCGGCTCTCAAATATTTTCACTTTTGCCAAATCAAATGAGAATGAAGACAACTATATCGATAACAATTTCTCTTTCGAATGATTATTATGATACAATTAACATTTATCTCATTTGATTTCTAAACATGATCTTTATTATTGTTTCATTTAGTGTCTCAATTTGATATCCATTTTGTCGGATATTCATATTCAATAAATTTTTTGAGACATTGTAAAAAGTTGTGTTTTATTTATGATAAACTTTTCTATTATAGGAAAAAATATAGTAGTTACTTTTCTGGAGTTTTCAATCATTTAAACACTACAACTGAGTGTGTTTGTCTCTTCCATTGGAATATAGTGTATATAGTAGCACTTATTAATGAGATACATATCAGTGTCACCATAATTCTTATGGGACAAATTTCATCTCCATAATCCTTTGATCTCAAATATTTAACATCAATTTCTTTTTCAGGAAGAAAAGTTAATTAAATCAATTATCATACATCTTCAGGATGTTTAAAGAAATTGTTCACGTGAAAATGATATTATAATTTTAATTCGTCAAATGTATTTCGGGACATTTATCTTCAGGATTCTTACTTTATTGTCCTTATCATTATTATCCCACTTCAAGTGGTAATTTTTTCTCTTGTCATGATAAAATATATATTTATCAAAATCATAGTCATAGCAGCAATCATAACTATAAATTGAAATTTAGTCACACTCACTTCTAGAAATGGACTAGAATTAGCATGCAATAAGTACAAAATACTTCTCAAATTTTCTCTCAATATTGCTACTACAAGAGCATATTTGAGAAATATGTAGAAAATATTATTTTCAACTAAAAAATAATTCTAAACATAGCAGAATTATGTACTTGTAGCCATAAGTAAATTTATCATACCAGACTTTGAAATAATGACCATCTTCTGGTGGTCAAATATTTTCGTTAAAGAACGATCATTTTCAGGTGATCGAATCTTTTTCTTTAAATATTTCAAAGGACAAGTAGATCCTCAAATATAATTGATTTTCTATAATAGCATCTCCAAAATTCATTGCATCAGAATATAAGTATTTATAACAAATAATTCTAAAGATAAATAAGTAGAATTAAAAGGAGAAATATTATCTCAAAGATGTCAAACAGTATATATTTGTGTTTAATGATTGCTCAGCAATAGAAACTTGTATTTTTTCGATAATTCAAATGTTAGCCATAAGAAATTGAAATAAATTTATGTGTCAAAAATTTACCTCAATAAGTAGACAGAAGTTACCGAAAAAATACGGGCAGAATCTCTTGTTTCACTTTTACTCAAGATAGAGGCTCCGTTTTCACCTTTTGCTCAAAAATAGAGACTGGTGCTGATAACGTATTGTAAAACAAAATAAACTACTATATTATGAATGAAGATATTAGAGGAAAAGTAGAGTAATAGAGAATGATATTCTAATGATTCCAACTAATACAAAAGTTTTTCCAAAAGGTGTCAATGTATCTCTATATATAGGTACTACAAGATTAAAGGTACATCAATTCTATTAAACACCCACTACTACAAGAATATGAAAAAACTTATGAAACGGTTTCTCCACTACATGAATAGATTTATGGATTGTAATTTCTATACATAATGTAATCATAAATCAAGAATTAATTCTCTTAAGAATACAAAGGGACATCCATACTTTTAATTGTTTCATAACAGACAAACTTTTATTTTTTTAATCATTCTATACTTTTTTATGTGTAGTAAAATTCAATTTATTAATTCCCTACATTATATATGTTTACAATGATTATTTCTTTCTTGATTTTTTTTATCAATTAACGGACAATTTTTCTTTTATTAATTTTCTTTAATTACACTCACTCTATCTATATTATTATACTTGATTATTTATTTGTAATTCTAAAGTTTTGAAAATTTGTATTATTTAATGAATATATATTACACAATTTTAACATATTACTCCTACAAGTCCATTTAGATTAAAAAAAATTAAATCATCCTAAAATTGTGTAACAAATACACCAAGACCCAAAATAGAAATTATTTCATCTGCCACAATGCATCTTCTTCCACCATCTATTTTATTTTCATCTGCATGTACACATGAAACAAAATAGATAGACTAATCAAACTAAATCTACTATATATTGGGGATACTCACAAATTATTGTTGGGTGAATACTAGTTTTATTTTCTTTTTATATGGATTGTTACTTCAAAGCTCTTCTCTTGACTTTTTTTTTTGGGATAAATATAAGTCATGAAGCGTAGCTTGTTTCTTTATAGTGGCTTTTGTAATCAAGTGTTTGGAGATTGAACCTTTTGGTCAGGGAAACCATCGACTTACAAACTATCTTATTGCTTTTATAGTGGAGTGGGAAGACGATGGTGGTAGCATTAATGGTGGAGAACAAGTTGGAATCTATAAAGGA